TCATCTTCTTCTGGATTCTGTTCTAATCCCCATTTATTTCTCCAGAAGCAGGAGAATCACTCAGCCCAGTGTAATTTTGTGGAGAGACTGCAGGCTTTTGAATAAGTCCTGATTTTGTGGACCCAAAGTGCCACTTACTAACCAAGTATCTCTGGGAAGGTCACTCTCTCTAAATATTTTCATAAGTGTAATGTGAGTATGAGTACATAATTTATGGATTGTTATAAGGATTGAATGAGATAATGTTTTAGACAATGCATGTGAAGCACTTGGCATAGTGTCTGATCTATGGCAAAAGCTTACTAAATGGAAGCTCTTTTTCTTATATTAACAACAATAATTTCTGTTATTGTGTGGTTGGAGGGAAAAGAACCAAGGTGCTGTCTAGGAGATGTAAAATCTAAGGGTGCTGCCTATTATAGTCCTAAGGAAAGACTGAGTGAGATATTAATTTATTTCTATTCCAATGGGTTAATTTGTAATGCATGTTGAATCCTTGGGCCCCACCAGGTAGGAGTATGGTGAAAAAAGCAAAAAGCAGAAGTAGTCCGTGAGTATGAACTAGGTATGGAAAGATAAACAGGATTTCCACAGATGTGTAGGAGCTGGGGTATGGAGATGGGTACAGGGTATACTAAGCAGATGCACAAAAAGCTGTTGAGCATTTTCAGGGGGAAAAATCCACTATGCTGGTGGTACAAGGTATATATGAAAGCTGTTAAGGGAAGGCAAGTATATTTATTCTTCTTTCTTTCTTTCTTTCTTTCTTTCTTTCTTTCTTTCTTTCTTTCTTTCTTTCTTTCTTTCTTTCTTTCTTTCTTTCTCTTTCTTTCTTTCTTTCTTTCTTTCTTTCTTTCTTTCTTTCTTTCTTTCTTTCTTTCTTTCTTTCTTTCTTTCTTTCTTTCTTTCTTTCTTTCTTTCTTTCTTTCTTTCTTTCTCTTTCTTTCCCCTTCCTTCCTTCCTTCCTTCCTTCCTTCCTTCCTTCCTTCCTTCCTTCCTTCCTTCCTTCCTTTATTATTTAAAAAATTTTAAATTAAATTTTTATTGTTCAGATTATTACAGTTGTTCCTCTTTTTTTCTTCCATAGCTCCCCTCCATCCGGTTCCTTGTCTTTACCCCCCCCTCCCCCCCCACTGTCCTCATCTATTGGTGTATGACTTTTGTGCAGTCTCTTCCCACACCCCCGTACCCCTTTTCCCCTGAGAATTGTCAGTCCACTCCCTTTCTATGCCCTTAATTTTATTATATTCAACAGATTATTCTGTTCATCAGATTTTTTATTCACGTGATTTTTAGATTCACTTGTTGATAGATATGTATTTGTTGTTCATAATTTTTATCTTTACCTTTTTCTTCTTCCTCTTCTTAAAGAATACCTTTCAGTATTTCATATAATACTGATGAACTCCTTTAGCTTTTTCTTATCTGTGAAGCTCTTTATTTGCCCTTCAATTCTGAATGATAGCTTTGCTGGGTAGGGTAATCTTGGTTGCAAGATTTTTGCTATTTATCACTTTGACTATTTCTTGCCACTCCCAACTGACCTGCATAGTTTCTGTTGAGAAGTCAGCTGACAGTGATATGGGTACTTCCTTGTAGGTAACTATTTTTTTTTCTTGCTGCTTTTAATATTCTCTCTTTGTCTTTTGCTCTTGGCATTTTAATTATGATGTGTCTTGGTGTGGTCCTCTTTGGATTTCTTTTGTTTGGGGTTCTATGTGCTTCCTGGACTTGCAAGTCTATTTCTTTTACGGGGGTGGGGTGGGGGGGTGGGGGGGGTTTCTGTCATTATTTCTCCAAATAGATTTTCAGTACCTTGCTCTTTCTCTCTTCTTCTGGCATCCCTATAATTTGGATGTTGATATGCTTGAGGTTGTCCCAGAGGCTTCTTACAATCTTCATATTTTTGGATTCTTTTTTCATTTTGCTTTTCTGGTTGGGTGTTTTTGCTTCTTTATATTTCAAATCTCAGGATGGAACAAATAGCAATGACCTTCTGTCAGCCCTTCCCTAAGAGGCCCCTGGGTCTCAGTGTCTCTTGGTAATTGCTGCAAGCACCTCTGAGAGAAAGCTGCCCTCGAGTTCCGTCCACTGCCAGACAGTCCAGTTTCTCTCTGTATGAGTCTGGGTTCCCAGAGTCTTGCCCAGAACTGGAGTTCAGAGCAGTTGGAAACTTGTGTCTCCCTGCGGATTGAAAAAGCCAGCCACATACTCAGTTGCCAGCCCTTTCCACACACATTCTGTACCTCTTTACTTCTGCAGCTCCTCTGAGTCTCATTGTACTTTTCCCTTTCCTTCTAGTTGTAGAATTTCCACTCAGCCAGCCTTCCTGTGGTTCTGGATGATGTCCATTTTGTCTTTTAGTTGTATTTTTGAAATGGTTGTGTGAGGCAGCATGTTCAGGTGTTTACCCATGCTGCCATTTTGGTTTCTCCTCTATTTTATTCTTTAGGCAATATTGAACCATTAAAGCTTTTTAATTATGAGATAATATTAGGAGGTTTAGATTTAAGAAAAAGTCACTTTATATAAACTGAATTAGTTGGTATGTGGAGTAAACATTGGTTAGCAACTCTAATGCATACAATGGCTGGAAAAGATATATAAGTATTTGAAATACTTAGTATAATGCTAAAGGGTGTAGAGGGTGAATGTCTAGTCTAAAGAGGACAACTACCACTCTGGGTAATATTTCCAACTCAGATCCTGTGCTTAATGCTGTCAATTCATCTCATTTAAAAAATAATCACTAGAAGTCAAAATTTCTGTCTTTCAGTTTTTAAATTTGGCAACTGATATGAATTTTGAACATACATTGCAGTGGTATAATAAAACACATCTGCTGGTTGGATTTTGCCTGTGAACTGCATTTGTAGTTTTTGGACTAAAAGCATTGAGACAAAATATGACACTATTAAAGTTATCTCCTCAGATGAGAGGTAACTGGAATAGTAGTTATGGGACTGTCAGGGAAGGGATAGGTAGAATAAGTTCAGTGAGAATTAACAAATCTTAGGGACATATTTGCTGTGAAAAATAAAGTGAAAATAAAGCAGAGATTAAGGGGAAAATGTGTTTTTTGAGGAGACAAGTGCAGTTTTCAGATACATGACCACTAGGTAGTTGCAAATGAAGAACTGGAGATCAGGAGAACTGCTGAGGCTATAGTAGGAGCTTTAGGAGTCATCTGTATACAGATGGCATTTGTAATTTATGGGGACAGTTGAGATCTCCAAGAGAGAAAGTGTAGAATATTATGAGGGTCAAAGACAGCCTTGCTGAGCTTAGGGGACTAGAGAGCTAGTGGTGGTAAGGAGGAAGACAAACCTGTGAGGGGAAAAAAAAGGCTTAGGACATACAATGAACAGAATTATATGTCATGGAGGCTTCACAAAGAAGATTTTGAAGTAGAAAGAGATAATTAGCAATTTTAAATAATTGCTAATTATTAAGAACTCAAAATGGCAAGGTCTGGAAATAGGCTAACAAATGTGATCATTAGGAGTGATTGATGCCTTATAGGAAAGCAGTGGGGGACAGAATAAATTATAATTTCTCTTGTGAGAAATTTGAGAAAGGAAGGTGAGATGGCGTCATTATTTGAAGTCAGGGTCAATTTTTTTTTTTTTAATTGAGGAGGAAACTGAATATGTAAATAAAGAAGAAGGAAAAATGAAGAGTGAGAAGGTGGAAGATGCCATTTGGCAGCCATAACAAAACACCATGGTTTGGATGGCTTAAAAAACAAAAATTTATTTTCTCACAGTTCTGAAGGCTGGGAAATCTAACATTAAGTGTCAGTCCAGTCAGTTTTTGATGAAGGCTCTCTTCCTAATTTGCAGGTAGTCACCTCATTGTATTCTCACATGACTGAGAGAGTAAGATCTTTGGTATTTCCTTTTACAAGAACACTAATCCTATCATATCAGAACTGTTCCCTTTTGACCTCATTTTAAAAAGTATATTTTATTGATTTTTTACAGAGAGGGAGAGGGAGAGAGAAAAATACCAATCAGCTGCCTCCTGCATGCCCCCTACTGGAGATGTGCCCACAACCAAGGTGCATTCCTTTGATTGGAATCAAACCTGGGACCCTTGAGTATGTAGGCCGACGTTCTATCCACTGAGCCAAACTGGTTAGGGCTATGACCTCATTTAATCTTACTACTATATATGCCCTATCTCCAAATATAGTCTTATTGAAGTTTAAAGCTTCAGCATATGAATTTTTTGGGTACTATTTAGTCCACAGCATAAAAGAAAGAAAAGATGATCGATATAATAAAATTTTAGAGGAGATACACACATACTTATACACACACACAAAATAAAAATAAAAATAGGATGTTGAACAATGGTTAGTGACATTAACACTTCTCTGTATAGTAAAATATGAAGTTTGTAATTAAAGTATTGAAACATTTTTAGACAGGACAGACATTTTGATATTTTGCATCAAATGGCCTTTATCTTCTTTGAAATGATGCATTCTCTACCTCTTTAGTCTGCTGTTTTCTACCTATCAGAGTTATCTAATTGTTACTTTGTATAATTTGTCTGAGATTTTTAGTTGTAATCAGTAGGAAAGATTGTATGGAAGGTACTTGCTCTATCTTAACTAGAACCACAGCCTCTCTGTATAATTTGTAATACTTTATTCAATCTTTTCCACTAGATTGAATGCTTATTGAAGGTAGTACTTGAGAATAGTGTCACTATATATAACAACATATCCAGTTCAGGATCCAGCACATAATATTTGATATATGTTTTAAATCCAATGAAATACTCTTACTTGGGCTTAATAGTTTTGGTATCATTTTTATTAAAGCAGAGGACCATTTCTGCTTTAAAGCTTGTGTAGCTTTCCAACTCTTAATAAGAGTCTTCTTCATATTTAGATAATACTTTGTGTCTTTTTTTGTGGCTAACAAATATTCTTTTAATTTTCATTTAGATTCCTGCTTTGTTTTGCAGGGCTGAAACATTTTGTTGGAGAAATGGCTGCAAAGTCAGATATGGATAAAGAGAGGCTGGTTCAAGCTGCCCAAACATTCTTTCTTCACATTCAAGATTTTGCTACTGTCACAAACACACTCACCGAATTGTTTAATAGCTGTATGAATTCTCAGATCATCACAATGGTTGTGAAAGAAGATAGTTATGTTAAGGAAGTCTTTGAACAAATGGTCAGAATTTTTAAGGAGATGCAATCTGTAGTGGCGGCCAAGGATAACAACGCGCAAAAGGCACCTATATTTTCCAAGATTGCAACAGCGATGTGCACAGTGGTTGATAAGAATACCAAAGTAAAAGAGTTGCAGCCAGCAACTAGAGAAAAGTTAGCACAAGTCAATACACCACTCATTGTCTCTCTGATGAGCAGTGGTAACATCATTTCGAGTTTGGAATCTGCTCTTCAACTCTTGACGCTGCATCCCATCATGAGTCTTCAAATACGTGACTTCCAAAGAAAAGACACCAAAGAACAATCAGATGCTACCACATCTATGGAAAGCTCAAGCGCAGGTCCATCCAAAGTCACTACAGTAGACAATGTGAAAAAGTTGCAAGATGCACTAAAAATTGAGAATGCTAAGAATACCATTGCGTCAGCCGCAGAACAATTGGAGCAAATTGTTAAAAATATGAGACCAACCTTAGAGATCCTCCAAAAGGCCATACAGACTTTGGAAATTAGTACATATGGGATTAAGAAAGTCAGTCACTTGTAGAAGTGCATCAGAAGTGCTCATTTTTGGCAGAAAATGATTTCAAATCCTGTGAGTTTTCATAGCACATTTTTAGGCCTTTGATGCTAGGAATGTGGTCTATTTGAACATTGGTGCAAAGAGTAGTCACTTGGCCAACAATTTACTTCAAGTTTGCTTTAGTCAAATAAAAAGAATAAAAAAGCCCATTTGAAATGTTATTCCTAAATAGAATGTATTGTCAAAAAATCAAGGTGATATTATATTTGATTTGAGGATGTTTCTAAACATTATATATAATCTTAAAGAATAATTTAAACTAATTTTCACTCTTAGTAATTCTATTTCTAGTTACTATAGTGCAAAGTTCAGGTAATTATAAATGTTATTAATAGATAATCTGGCAGAAATGATGTTCAGAATTAGGAAGCATATAAAGTAATCCTCTGCATTTTTGTCACTCCCATACCAATTTCTATATTCCTCAAGGCCTTGGCTATCATAAACAATCTAATCAATATTTTTATTAGATTTATCCAGAAGGAAATAAGAAAAATGAATGAGAAGTAATATAATTTTATTACATGAATAAAATTAGAGTATATGATTTGTTTTCATTGGTCTCCTACTAAGATCTTATGATTAGCCTATATTAGAGGCTGAAAATTGGAGGTGATCTAATCTTTCACAATGAAATTGCCATGACGCTTGTCTGAGATGTGCTTGTAGTGGGGAAGAGAAGTTAGATAAGTCCATTTATCTACCATAAAGTCTTTAGCTCGCATGCATTGTAAATGAGTGTGTGCTCTCAAGATTGCCCTATTTCACTTGATAACTATTAGGAACTTTGTTGAGAATAAGAAAAGCAATTAATAATTCTAGTTATTTGTTGAATTTTCTTTTTGAGGGAAAATGCTTGAATTATTTTCCTTACTTAAACATTTCCTCATTTAAAATCTAAACCTTATTTTCTTCTTTAAAAAGAAAATGTCTCTGTAGTCTGTTAAAAAAACAACACCCTGACTGGTGTGGCTCAGTAGTTGAGTATCAACCCATGAACCAGGAGGTCAAGGTTGAGTTCCTGGTCAGAGCACATGCCCAGGTTCCAAGCTTGATCCCCAGTGTGCGGTGTCCAGGCGACAGCCAATCAGTGATACTCCCTCATCATTGATGTTTCTCTATCTCTCTATCCCTCTCCTTTCCTCTCTGAAATCAATTAAAAAAAAAACATGAGAAACTGAAAGGGAAAGAAATTACTTGTGAGCTTTTGATGGAAGAAGAAGGTATTCTATGTACTTTTTAGCTTTCTATGCAGTCACTTCCACCAAGATAACCTCCTTACTTATGGCTACTTGAAAGTTGCACTTTTGTTAGCCCAGCCAAGAGCTCAGCTCCAAAGCCAAGGCTGTCATTGTAATTACCACTGTAATCTTAACTAAAACATTCTTTCCTTGCTCCATAACAATAAGACCATCACAATATCCAGTGGTGAGGGTTAAGGGGATTTTGACTACTTCCAGGGTTTAGAGGGCTTGGAAAAAGCATGCTTTTTAATACATTAATTCTCCATTTTGTCTCAGCTCCAAAGCTGAGATCTCATTCATTTGAAATAGATATTCGTTAATTGGTGTCCTATATTGAGGAGTATCTTGAGCTGATCCATTTGCCAGTCTCCCCTCAAAAAAATGCACATATAGGTATAAATGGGAGTAGCGAGGTGCTGCTCTCACTTTGCTACTTTTTTGGAACCTGTATGTGTCCTGGATTTCACTCCCTCCTCTTGGTTGTAGTTTCTATCTCAGGATGTTTCAACAACTGGGGGGGATCCACGTGGACATGAACGGGACAAGAACCATGAAGAGTCTTTCTGTGATATAATGGTAGTTCAAGGGAAGTCCTCCGGAGACGCCAGTGGAAATGGTGGCTAGTGTGGCCCTTAATGTTAGAGATGAGGGGTGCCTATTTCAATAATGATGCTGGCCTCACTCACAGCGCCTCTCACAGCCATTTTCTCACCACTGGGCACCACTCTAGTGACTACTTGTCTGCTGCTGCTTCCCAGCTTATGGAAAGAAACATTAAGGAAAACCGCAGTGCTCTCAATCCTATCACTCTTATTTAATGTTTCCCTGAAAGACTTTGATTTGGGGTAACTCTCATTTACACTCATTTTTTTTTCCAGGTAGACAAGAACAAAATGGGGAAGACACACTTGGTTCTATCTTATGCCTCATCTCATTCCTTCTCTGAGTCCTTGGACACAGTATGATCTCTTTGAATGAAACATAAGTAGGGAGAAAAAAGTGAATTGCCATAAAGCAAAAGCAAAACAAAATTCATGATTACTAAAAAATAATAAAAGGAAGAAAGACATAAAAGTCCTCTAATACTTATAATAGCTTCCCTTAGCAGTAGACAATTTTTTAGCAGATCTTGGTATCTCTGAAAGCATCTAGCTAAATAAGTCTCTTTTGAATTTTAGCAAATCAAGAACTGGTCCATTCACTATAAGTTAATTTGATTCAGATCATTAGACAACTCAGGCCAGGAATCCTGATTTCTCAACCAAATCAAACTCTACTGAAATTTTCTTTCACTGAATTAAAATTTTTTTAAAAGTAAGAGTAAATAGAGAACTTCAGGATATGCAGATAGACATATTAGAACACTACACTGAGTGGCCAGATTATTATGATCTCTGAAGGCGTAATAATCTGGCCACTCAGTGTATATCCTATATAATAAAAAGCTAATATGCAAATTGTCTCCTTGACCAGGAATCCAACCAGCAGGCAGGACGGCCAACTGCCCATGTCCCCTCCCCCTGGCCAGAATGGCTGGACCCCACCCATGCATGAATTCATGCATTGGCCTCTAATATATATATATATATATATATATATATATATATATATATATATACACACACACACACACACACACACACACGCGCGCGCGCGCACACACACACACACACACATACACACACATACACCCACACATACAAACACACACACACACACACACTGAGTGGCCAGATTATCATGTGTTCAAAGATCATAATAATCTGGCCACTCAGTGTATATCTAATATATAAAAGCCAGTGTTCATAATGACCAAAACGACCAAATGAACGGTCACTAGGAAGTGCATGGAGCACCTCTCAGTCCCTCATCTGTGGCCTACAGGCTCCTTTCACAGCTGGTGGCTGGCGGGTGGATGGGGTGAGGCTGGCATAGGGAGAGAGGCAGGGCCTTATCAGCAGCTGCCACATAAACTGCAGATTAGGCCCAGAGATAGGCCTGGAGAGAGAGACAGCTGTCAGCAGGGCCGTGTGGATTTCTCAGAAGAGCCAATGGCTACATAGGGGCCAATGGTGGCATGGGAGGGCAGTTGGGGGCATTAGGCAGGCAGGTAGGTGAGTGGTTAGGAGCCAGTGATCCTGGATTGTGAGAGGGATGTCCAACTGCCAGTTTACAACCTGCAGGATCGGTCCTAAGCTGGGAGTTGGACATCCCCTGAGGGGTCCCAGATTGGAAAGGGTGCAGGGTTGACTGAAGGTCACTCCCTCTCCCCATGCATGAATTCAGTGCATGAGTCTCTAGTTATAAATATATTTTTATAAAGATAAAAGTAATAAATGGGGCTGGAATATTTTTGTATTTACAAAAAGAGAAGTGCATGTGCTACTTTAATAAAATTACTATAGGTGATAAATACTAAGCAACCTTTTATGTAGTCTCTTTCAATAATCTATATGAATTTATGCACATTGGAAGGTCCAATTATCTTCAGAAGATATCCCAGATAACAAAAGAGCAGAAATTATAGAGAAGTTTTTGAAACTGGTCGTCTAAAGTTTCATGAACTCAGAGTTTGAATTAATTTAAATCAATGGTTCCATTTATAGACTTCTTGTTCAAGAAATTGAGATTTAGGCAGAAATTGAGGGAATGCAAACGATATGCATTCCTCCTTAAGTAAACCCACACATCTACTTCCTTCAAGAGAATCATTTCTATTTCCAGAGACTTTATTCAGTAAAGCAGCAGCATCAGGAAGAGGAAGACTTAAGTTATCTTTTAAAAATTGTGGTTATTCAGAGGGACAAGGGGGGAGGATCCAAGATGGCTGCTCACGTAAACCCCTAACCGCCGCCGCACACAACAATTTCAATGGAATACAACTAAAATATAAAATGGACATTGCCCAGAGCTACAGGTAGGTGACTGACTGAAAATTCTACAACAAGAAGGAAAGAGAAAACAGAAGGAAAATCAGAGGAGCTGAAAAAGCCCAAGGTACGGAGATATGCGCATGCATGCGGAAAGGACGGAGCCAGAGAGGAGAAGAAGGCTGGGTGCCTGCCTGGTGTTCCCTAGCAGGAAGGGAATAAAAGCCCTGGACTGGGCTGAACCCCATAACCGGCAGTGCTGAGCCAGACTCTGGGGACCCAGGCTCAGGCAGGGGGAGACAGGGCTGTGAGGTGGAATCCCGGGGGAGCGGCGAAAAGCGGAGCCCCCGGAGTCGCGTACATTGCATGCAGAGGACAGTCTGTTGACTCTGATGCTAGACTCCCCTAGCAGGAAGGAGAAAAAAAAGCTCCAGACTGGGAGGAACGTGATGAGGAGCAGGAGCTGCTGCCGGACACCGGCCAGCCGGGCGCCACAAGGAACCGGGCGACAGGGCCCCCAGGGGAGAGGGTACCGCTGGGCCCTTGACCGCTGAGTGTGGGTCATGGAGCCGAGGCCGGGGGCTGCTTCCTGGGCGGCGTGGACCCCGGCAACAGGCTGAAGCCACGCAGGAGGCCGCGGAGAACAAAGGGGTGCCACAATCCAACCTGCTGAGCTCCCAGGACAAGGAGGAAGAAACCAAAGAAGTTTTCAATGTGAAGAAATCAAGTGAGATCAAAAGATAGTAAAATTACTTTAGAAAGAATACAAAGAAGATCTTGAAAAATCGAAGACTAAGTCAGAACTCAACTCAGCAGCCAACATTACAATATAAATGTGTTTAATAAAAAAGGACAGAATGTTGGAACGGCGGCAGCCAGGCCCAGAGTGGCCAGGCACAAGGCAGTGGCAGCCGGGCCCGGAGCAGCAGCAGGCAGGCCCCAGAGCAGCAGCAGTCAGAACCAGAGCAGCAGCAGCCAGGCCCAGAGCAGCCAGACCTGGGGCAGTGGCAGCTAGGCCTGGGTCGGAGGCAACCAAGCCCAGGGCAGCCAGGCCAGGAGTACCCAGGCCCGGAGTGGCCAGGCCTGGAACAGCCGGGCCCAGAGCAGCCAAGTCCAAAGCAGCCAGGCCCAGAACAGCAGCAGCCAAGCCCGGAGCATCCAGGCCGGGAGTGGCCAGGCCCGGAGCGGCCGGGTCGGGAGCAACCAGGCCCGGAGCAGCAGCAGCCAGGCCGGGAGCTGCAGTGGCCAGACCCGGAGCAGCTGGTTGTGGAATGGACCAGAGCAACAGAGGCCAGGCCAGGAGCAGCCGGACCCAGAGCAGCCGGGTCGGGAGCATCCAGGCCCAGAGCAGCAGCAGTCAGGTCGGGAGCGGCAGTGGCCAGACCCGGAGCAGCTGGTTGTGGAGCGGACCAGAGCAACAGAGGCCAGGCCCAGAGCAGCCAGGCCCGGAACAGTTGGCTTCTCGCCTGCCCCCGCCCCAAGGCTGCCTCTCAGACATGGCTGGAAACTTTTGGGGGAACTTGAGGGTCTGCTGAATCAAGTGTTGAAGCTTAGATCTGGATGTGTTGAGTTAGTATAGCGCTGGGGTGTTGATCTGTGAGTGCCTTGTGTGGGGCCTGGAAGAGGTTGGTTGATCTATTGGGAAATGTCTTTTGTGTGAAGTGTATCCTTGGGCATGTGGAGGTATTATTGATTTGAGGAAATGCTAAGTAACTGATTTACTATCTGAAAAATTTTAAGTTCTGGAAGTTTAAGGTCTCTTGCCAAAAAGAGGTTTTAAAGCTAACACCTTAATTTTAATGGAGAAAGGGGAGGACAAGCCATTCCCACCCAGAACAGGTAATCCAATTCCAACCAGCAGCTATCTTTAAACAATGTGTTCATTTACACTTGAATGGCTACATCTTTTGATAGCCTAAGGGCAAGTTTACATGTAAACTAGTTTGCTTCTCAATTCCCTGGGCAGAAAAAAACAAGGTTTAAAATTATTAGATTTTAAAATTTATTCTTAGAAGTGTAAAAGTTTATTAATTAAAACAATAACAACAACAACAACAAAAGAAGATTGAAAAACCTGATGAACAGTATTAGCTGTTGATTGTAGTAGAGTCCTTGATAAGGGAGGGGAGTGGACTGACAGTTCTCCGGGAAGGGGGTATCGGTGGATGCTGGATGCGGAAGAGACTGAACATAAACTGTGCACCTATGGATGAGAACAATGGGGGGTGGAGGGTGAGGTGGGAACCTGGTGGAGAGTGGAAGAAATGAGGAACCTTTGTAATAATATGAACAATAAAGATTGATTTAAATAAATAAATAAAAAATAAAAATTGTGGTTATTCCCTTAAGAATTATAATCATGTAAGTTGTCTTATCCAGGAAATTGATTTCTCATGGAGATCAGATGCTTTAGGCTGGCTTTTGAGCATCACTGGGTGGCTTCAACTTTCCAGTCTACATTACTGCTTCACTCTTGCAGACCTATTTTCTGACCTTTATATACATTGATTATTCCTATATCTTATTTCTTTTTTTCTACTCAGCTTTTCCCCCCACCAACCTGAAGCCCTTCCCCTAAGCCTCTCCTCTGATAGAAGGCTATATACTACCCCAGGCCAGAGGAATCTAATTTTTCTCTAAACTCCAAGTGCTTATTATTTGTACTCATTTTTGGCACCACGCACTTGCTACATACCTGTCCCTACCTATTTTTTTTCTCCTTTTTCTTACCCCTTGCTGCCACACCAATATCCCAAGACCTCACTCAAATGCTGCTCTTTACTTGAAGCTTCTCCTCTTGCCTCAGCTAGAAGGAATAGCTCTCTTGTTGAATTTTCATGAATGAAAGACTTGATTTCCCCCTTTCTTTTGGTATTTCCTATGTGGGAGACTATTCCTTACTATTCCTTACATTTCATCACTGCCTTACTAACAAAAGCTCACTGAAAAGTTTTGCTGGATCCATGCCCCAGAATGAATCTTTACTAGGTAGCCACAAACCTGACAAAGTCTCTGTACAATGAATCACAGAAATTATTTTTATAGAAAATCTATGCTTGCTTTATTGAGTGTAGAGGCCAATGCAAACTAGGTGACAGAGGTGCCCTTGTTCCTGATATTCTCAAAAATCCCAATGTAAATCATGATAGTATTAGATGGCTGAGTTCTCTACCAGGTGATTTTATGCCTCTAATTTTCCATTGAGTCTCTTCTATCATGACAGAGACCCTTCCGGAAGTACTACTGGGGCTAGATGAGTTGATTTTCACTTTTGTTGTTTCTTATCCAAACCTCTAAGTAACACAGACTTTCAGAATTCCAAGGTATGAAGATGGTTTTCACTTCCACACCATTTAGCCAAATATAAGGATCTTTGGAGAAAAGGGAAAGTAATACCTCTTCCCCCCATCACCTCACATTTGTATACTATTGGAGAGAAGAGATGGAGAACATTCCCAGCTGTGAAAATCATTGAATTATATCCCTTTTTACCTAATTGTATACACACAATGGAGACTCAATATGTCATTGATATTTGCTTGGTAATTAGATACCTTTTTCCTCCCAAATCTGTCTTCACACTCATCCACATGATTTCCTAAAATATTTAAATTTGTGATGAATACTTAAGATCCAGTTTTCTATAAGTTGGCTGTAAATGACCATATGCCTTTAAATTTTAACTCTTATAAAAATAGTTTAGAAACAGGTATACAGCACCCCACTATTGGTAATGAATGGGATTTTATTACCATCTGTCCTTAGTATTTCTCAAATTTCCATGTTTCTTCCCATCTCAGACTATACTAATTTGGTCTTGAAAACTAATAAAAATCTCTGAAGAAAATTCAATCCTTAATGATGTCTCTGGGGCTCAAAGCTTTTCTATTTGATGAAGAATTTGTCCTTTGTTTTCTAATTCAAGCTTCCCTGATTTGTTCTTATTTAGGACTATTGAATAAAAAAACAAGGGAGTATCCTTATATCCATCATAACACCTCCAATTGCATGAAATAAAAAGTTTAATTCAAATTATTTAAGCAGAATATAATTTATTGGTTTATATAATGAAAAGCCTATAGTATACAATTTCAGGAACAGTTGGATCTAGGGCCTGTTCACTCTCATCCGGACGCAGGTTTTTGTTTTTTTTTTTTTCATTTCTTAGCTCTTCCTTTACTGTGTTAGCTCCATTCTCAGGAAAGTATTACTCTCAAAAAAAAAAAAAAAAAAAAAAAAAAAAAAAAAAAAAAAAAAAAAGGCCCTATCCAATTTCCCAAAGCAAAGAAGTGTCCTGAATTTATCCCATCAACTCTTGATTGTGCCATTTTCTACTCCAGCATGATCTCTGTGACCACGGAGAAGAAACATACTGAGTTACAGGCTCACTCATAGGCAGTAGGCTGAGTCAGCTCTGCATTAGCTGATGGGGGTGGAGGACACAGAGTTATTCTGCAAGGATATACAGGGTGCACTGACTGGAATAAAGCCAAAGGGTTCAGGAAAAGTAAAATGGCAAAGTTCTTTTATACTCCACTTTTTAAAGAGATGGTGACAATGATCAAAAAGGAGAGGGCAGCAATAACTACAGGAGCAGGGATGCACTTTATGCTGGAAGCTGTAAAAACAAACAAAAGAGTTAGATATATTTTAGGTAGCAGAGATTGAAAAAACAAAAGCTACCTAATTTCTTCTTTGATTCATTTTTTTTAACTTAGATAATTTATAATAAAAGTATTTAAAGTTAGCTACTTTGAAAAAAGTATTCTCAGATATTTATAATTAACATAACTTAGCTTACATATTTTATAGATGATGAAAGAGGCACCAAGAGGTGAAAAGATTTATTTCAATTTACCAAGCTGGTTGGTGGTAGAGATCTCCTGATTTTTCATCTTTTTAAAAAATATATATTTTATTGATTTTGTTCAGAGAGGAAGGGAGAGAGATAGAGAGTTAGAAACATTGATGAGAGAGTGTCATCAATCAGCTGCCTCTTGCACACCCCATACTGGGAATATGCCCGCAACCAAGGTACATGCCCTTGACCAGAATCGAACCTGGGATCCTTCAGTCCCCAAGCCGACGCTCTATCCATTGAGCCAAACCGGTCTCAGCTAATTTTCCATCTTTATTATTATCAGCATCCCCACCATCCCCATCTTATCATCTTCATCACCATTATGAAAGCTGATATTAAGTAATTTATTCTGTGTTAATATAGAATCTGTGTTAAGCACTTGCTGTAAATTAACTCATTTAATCTTCATAACAATCCTTTATTTGTGTTATCCTTATTTTTTGGTGAATAAAACTGTGACACAGAAATGTGAAGAACCCAAATGTGGTGGACTGCAGCTGGGAACACAAGCTAAGCTAGTCAGTTGCTGTGTTTTAATGTGGAGAGGAGACTCTGGGCAGGGCCCTTAATTCTTGCCCTGCTGAAGACAAGGCTGAACTTTTTCCGTGGCGGGATGGAGGGATATTGGAAACCCAGGGGTTTAATTTCATGGAAATAAAGATCATTCATCCTCCCATGCCAGTTTCAGGAAATTCCTTTCCTTGTGACATCGCAAGAACTCTACTTCCACCGGTAACAGATGGGGACAAAGTGGGAACCCCACCAAAAACACTTTGTTTCTATTCTTACTGTAAATATTACCGAAGTACACATTTGCTTCATTGAACAATTATCCAACTTCCACATCCACAATATTATACTTTCCTGGAGTTTTCCAGTTATGTTTGTTGCTATTAACATTTCCTCTAGGCAAGCAATGCCTCTACTTTATAAATGAAGGAATAGGCTCAGACTTCATCATTTACATATCTACTAACATATGCTTAGTTCTTACTGGCTCAGAAGTCTATTTTCTTCTTTTTTTAAAAAATATTTTTATTGATTTCAGAAAGGAAGGAAAGGAAGGGAAAGAGATAGAAACATCAATGATAAGAGAGAATCATTGATTGGCTGCCTCCTGTGTGCCCCCACTGGGGACTGAGCCCACAACCCGGGCATGTGCCCTTGGCCAGAATTGAAGTTGAGACCCTTCAGTCCATAGCCTGATGCTCTATCCACTGAGCAGCTAAGGCCAGAAGTCTATTTTCTTTCCACTGCCATGTGCTCTCCTAGATTCATTCAATCACATACTCATTCTTTCATCCAATTGTCTGATATAGACATTTTACTTCAAGGTGAATGTGATGCCAAAATAGGTAAAACTAATTTGAGAAAATTAAAGCTTAGAGTAAAAGAAAGCAGAAAACAGGAAGTCAATAAAATAAGTAATAATAATAATGGTAGTAGTAGTGAAAACATTTTAGTACTTACATGTGTCAGATACTATTCTATGATAAGTATGTTTACTCCTCAGAATCAAATAAGGTAGGCTTTATTAAAAAAATTTATTTCACTGTAAAGAAACAAGCACAGAATAAGCCATTTGCCCATGTTTTCACTGCTAGCAACTACAATTGACTATATTTTTTTCTATAAACATGCTTAAGAATTTTGACTATGTTAAACATTTTAACAAATAAATCCCTATCCTTTGTGAATTCAGTGATATAGAACAGAGCATGTATTTGTGTGACTAAAGATTTTTGGCACAGATTATTTTGCTGAAGAAGCAACATTTAAGGGCAAATAACTAACATATACTAGCCTGCCAAATAGTTAGAATCTCTCCATGGGCCTGAAAACATCTGTTTCTATAGTAACCAGCATAGGCCGTGTGAGGAGAGAAGAATTAGAAGGGAAAGCTATTAGTTTAGAATGCCTTAAACAATTTTTCTTCTGCAAATTCACTCCCTAAATATATTATGAGACTAATTTGACCCTTCAACTCTCTGAAGGCAACAGATTCATGGGAACTGTTTGAACTTGAGAACTGCAGTTGCAAGTTAACAGAACCAATTTTGAAATACACTGAAGGGCTGGAATATTCCTTAACCTATTGTCTCTTCATTGGGAGAATTACAGTGTCCTGGATGGCTAGTTTTAAATGTGTTCATGTTGGCTTTCAAATATCATGTCTTCCAAGTTAAGAGGGAACAAGATAGGAAACATAAGTTACTGACTCATAGGGACTTTCTGGGGACATAGAATAGCTTATGGCTTCTGCTAGTAAAAAAAATGAAAAGGAAAAGAAACAGTCTCGTGAGATGATTCCAGTTTCATGAGGAACTGGATATAAGTACCATACTCCAGAACACCACCTTAAGTTCTCTAGGCTGAGGTGAATCACACAGTCCAGGTGACTGGGAGAAAGCAGTTACCTAGGAAATTAGGAAGCAGAACATGTCACCCCAAAATATGCCTCTTTGGCATAATGATTATTTTGAGCTGAAGGCAATCAAGGCCAGCAGATTCAGGAAAAGCTTTTTACCTCCTCCTTAACTGCCTAAAAGAATTTAGAGCTTCCTGTAAAGGAGGAGAGCTACTCCCAGAGATAACCTTTATTATTATTATTATTATTAAATATATTTTATTGATATTTTTTTACAGAGAGGAACAGAGGGATATAGAGTTAGAAACATCAATGAGAGAAAAACATCGATCAGCTGCCTCTTACATACCTCCTAATGGGGATGTGCCCACAACCAAGGTACATGCCATTGACCGGAATCGAACCTGGGACCTTTCAGTCTGTAGGCTTTTGCTCTACCCACTGAGTCAAACTGGTTTTGGCCAGAGATAACCTTTTATATCAGAGAGATTTATCTGAATGGCAGGGCAAACATTGGCTTACCAAATATTTATTCTTCTCATCTTCCTATGAATTGTCTTCCTCCCTTTTGAAGCTCAGACACCCCAATTCCTTTCCTTAGCTCAGGAACATTATAAACTTCAATTGCCTAGCTGCCTTGGAGTCTTATATTTTTATGGAACTCCTATATGTATAAAATTATTATTCTTGTTAATCTATCTTTTCATTATGGTGGGAGGGGGTGGGACTCAGCCAAGAACCTAGAAGAGTAGAGGAAAAATTATTTTTCTTCTCCTACAGCACATTGGTCTCATCTCAGCAAAAGACTCCTAGACCAGAAAATAAATCACTTCTCTCTTCCCATTGCTCATGTATGGACCAACCTAATACTGCTCCAGGATGCAGGGATAACTAAAGTATTAAACCCCATCCCAGCCCCTTTTTTAGTAGAGCTAAATGCACCTATGTCCATTCCAAGTGTATACAGTTTTTTTTTTTGTTTTGTTTTTTTGTCTTCAACTAAAGTGATTGGAAGATGAGGCTTAGATAAGGTGGAACAGAGGATGGAGCTGCCTTCTCTGCCCACGAAAGTACAAATTAACATACCTGATGTTTAAATAATGGTTGTAGTTGCTCACTGTAGAAAGTTACTCATTCGTTCTGGGAAAAGCAAGGAAGACTATAGAGAACTTGACTTAGGAATGAGGGTTTTCAGTGAGAGATATAAACAAGTGGAAGAATATACCATGTTCATGGATTGGTAGAATTAACATAATTAATATCTCCACTCTACCCTATTAGATTCAATGCAATCCCTATTAAAATACCAACAGCATATTTCACAGATTTAGAACAAATATTCCAAAAATTTATATGGAACCAAAAAAGGCCCTGGATATACATGACAATCTTGAGAAAGTACAAAGTTTAAGAAATCACAATACCAGATATCAAATTATACTATACTGGCACAAGAACAGACATAGAGATCAATGGAACAGAACAGAGACCCAAGAAACTGACCCAGGCCATTATACTCAATTAACATTTGACAAAGGAGGCAAGAACATAAAATGGAATCAAGACAGTCTCTTCAATAAATGGTGTTGGTATAACTGGACGTGTACATGCAAAAAAAAAAAAAAAAAAAAAAAAAACCTCAACAAAATGCAAAGGGAGCTCACTGTACAGGAGAACATATTTGCCAATGATACATCTGATAAGGGTTTAATTTCCAAAATATATAAAGAATTCATGCAACTTAACAAAAGGAAGAAAAAAATTCAGTGAAAAAATGAGCAAAAGATCTAAATAGACAATTCTCCAAAGTGGACATACAGATGGCCACAAAGACATATGAAAAAATGCTCAACATCATTAATCATCAGAGAGTTGCAAATTAAAACAACAATGAGGTATCACCTTGCACCTTCCAGAATGGCTACTATCAACAAATCAACAAATGACAAGTGCTGGCAAAGATATGGAGTAAAGGGAACTTTACTCCAAAGATATGGAGTACACTGTTGGTGGGAATGCAGACTGGTACAGCCACTGTGGAAAACAGTATTGAGGTTCCTCAAAAAATTAAAAATAGAACTTCCTTTTGACCTAGCAAGCCTACTTCTGGAAATATATCCTAAGAATCCAGGAACACCCACCAGAAAGAATATATGCACCCCTATGTTCATAGCAGCACAATTTACAATAGCAAAAATCTGGTAATAGTCTCTAAGTACTCATCAGTAGATGAGTGGATAAAACAGCTGTGGTATGTTTATGCTATGGAGTACTAGGCAGCTGTAAAGAAAGAAGAAACTCTTACCCTTTGAGACAGCATGGAGGGACCTGGAGAATATTATGCTAAGTGAAATAAGCTAGTCAAAGAAAGACAAGTCTCACAGGATGTCATTCATATATAGAATATTATGAATAAAGTAAACTGACGAATGAAATAGATCCAGAGACATGGAAGCATGGAACAGACTGACAAATCTCTGAGGGAAGGCTGGGGTGGGTGGGTGGGGGGTGGGGAGAGTTTCACCAAAGAACTTAAATGCATATATGCATAACCCATTGACACAGACAATAGTGTGGTGAAGGTCTGGGGATGGGGTGGGAGTAGGCTGAAGGTGGGTTCATGGAGGGGGGAAGGGGACATTTGTAATACTTTCAACAATAAAGATACATTTTTAAAAAAAGAGTAAACAACTGCACATATGGATAAGAACATTCCCCTTCCCTCTAAATCAAATAGGGCACAGCGTTTGCTATAGAACTATTAGTCTGTGAATTGATTATGGCTGGTAACATACAAAGATAAAATGGAATCAGCCATGTGTTTTTCTAAAAAAAAAGAGCTTAACAATATATATATAGTATTGTGGTATCTCTAATTTTTTCTGCTTCAATTTCCCCCAATATCATCAGAGCTCTTGCTAAAGTATTGATTTAAATCAGTGGTCCACAAACTCATTAGTCAACAGAGCCAAATATCAACAGCACAACGATTGAAATTTCTTTTGAGAGCCGAAAACCGACTTCTGCGCATGGGCCACAAAGTTTCAATCACACTGTATGTGTGCGCCTGCGTGTAGTATTTTGTGGAAGAGCCACACTCAAGGGGCCAAAGAGCCACGGTTTGCCGATCACTGATCTAAATGATGCTCCCTCCATTCCTTAAAAACTTCTAGTGTCTTCTCATTACCTACATACAGCATGCAGTTCAAAAGTCCTGGGCATGGAATACATGAGTTTTTATAGTTGGTCTTCGCAGAACTCTCCTGATCCACTCACTCTCCTACTCTCTTTCTATTCCCAATCCTTTTCTATGTCCTGCATATCCTACATTGCAGCGATCCAAAACTGTGGAGATTCCCTGAAGTCACTAGGCTGTTTTAAATCTCTGTGATTTCGTATAATATACTGTTTTGTGCTTGAAATGACTCTTCCTTTCTTCTTTCACTGAAAACTCCCATTCCCTGTGGTCCTCTACTATGAAGTCTTCCCCACTTTCCCCAGAGAGAATGAGCAGCTATAGCCATTGCTTAAACATTGGGTGTGTTACTTGTACTTTTGTGTGTAGATATTTGTTCATATTTCCATTTCCCATTGGACTTAAAATCTTCCTAGTATAGTAGTTCTGCTGTACTCCTTTTATATTGCAGGGGGCTCCGTAGGCCAGTTCCTGGAACATAGAAGACACTTAATAGATAAGAGTGAATGAATGAACCAGGACCGGTTTGGCTCAGTGGATAGAGCCTGCGGACTGAAAGGCCCCGGGTTCGATTCCGGTCAAGGGCAAGTACCTTGGTTGCAGGCACATCCCCTGTGGGGGGTGTGCAAGAGGCAGCTGATCGGTGTTTCTCTTTCATCGATGTTTCAACTCTCTGTCCCTCTCAATTCCTCTCTGTGTAAAATCAATAAAATATATTTTTAAAAAAAAAGAGTGAATGAATGAGTCATGCCTCCTGCTTTACTTGTATTTATTTTCATAAATAAATTCCTTATTTATGAAATGATCATAACAAAAACGCGAGTTTGAAGAAGAGGGTAAAGATGCTATTTTGTGGACTATCTTTTCCAGTAGAGGTTTACTCTCTCATCTAGAATGCCCCCTAAATTAGTGTCATTGTAGAAATGTATTTTCATAGAGGTAGTTAAGGAGAAAGAAGAGAGGATAAACCAATAAATCAGACTCCCCCCCCCCCCCTCTCTAATCTGTCAGTTCCATCATTATAGAAGGCCGATTTCTCTGTTCTTGGCCTTTAAAAGAATAATAGCCTGTGATCATGATAAGAGTAAATTCAACTTAAATCAATAATACCTTTTAGCAGCTGACAGTTATATGTGCTCAGATTTCCAGTTGACCTCAATTGCAACCAATTTCCTCTTGGGTGGTAGCTCATATTTACAACTTCAAACAATTCATAGGGAGGGACAAGAACCTCCTCCCTGAGAGAGAAGTCTTGTACAGGTGCACCCAGGCAGGTAAATATGGTAAATAGAGTTTGGTTCCCAGGCTCCTGTGCCTCTTTTCTTAGGAGGGAGGCGGGCAGGAATTGGCCAAATCGAAGGGTGGCACCTATGTAGGCTTTCAAGTAGAAATCGGCCTCATGATGCACTTGGTAGCACAGAGAGTCATTCTTCATGTCAATCCCTTTCCTCAGCAGCTGGACTGCTGAGGTCAGGTAGTAATGTAGGTATTTGAAATGGAATGAATGTTTATACTGCCATGGAGACCTGGCATCGCTGGCCATGGCTCTAGTGAATTCAGAGCGCACATTGTTGTTCAGTGTGTAAACCATGATGGCCACAGCATGTGTGATCGTCATGTTCTTAGGGAGAGCTTTACCTTGGGTTAGCCAGATTAAATGGGCATTAGACCAGGCCTTATAATGATTTGTCTGGGCTTCCATTTCTTCTGTGACATAATCCCCTTGACTTAGCTCCTCCATGACCTGTTGGCTGCAACCTTGGTATTGATCGTCAAAGGAATCTGGTGCCAAGTCAAAGTTGATTTTAGTTGCAGCCTAGTGGAAAAGAAAAATCTTGATTATAATTTTTCTAATCAGATGATGCATCTAATAGCAGATTTTCTGTACTCTATAAGACTGTCTTCTCAAAACCAGTATTTGCTGAAGTAAGTTTCACTTATAATCATTATACTGTTCCTGTCCTTCCTATGTCAGTGGCCTGTGTTAGAGATTGGATTTGTTTTGATACATATCACTGAAAGCTCAAAAATGTGCATTTCCCCATGGAGGAAGTGATCTTGTTTGTATAACCAAAATCATGGTATTTTTTATTTTTTGCACATTGGATATGATGAAGAGAATTAATACCTTAAAGTTTAGTTTTACTTTCTATTTCATCTACTAACCTCCTTCACATTTCCTCATGGGTTTTTAAAGAACTATCTCTTTTATAAACACCTAAAGCTATATTAAGCCTTTGGAGTTTATTTAATAAAAGACGTAAGTGATGAATAAAGTTGGGTCCTCCAGGGGATTCCAGCAAATTATAGCCCTCTCTCCTATTCAGGCTCTGAAAAAAAAAAAAAAAGCAAATATGAAGGCTAAAGTATCATTTGCATTTATGAATCATGTCATGTTAGGGCTCACATCTTTAGATCTGATGGCAAATGGGCTTGTTAGAAATAAGTCCCAGAAGGAGACAGGCTTGCCCACACAGCTGTAGGGAGAGCTGAACTGCAGCCTACCCAAGTGTGATTCCTTTCATGGAGAAACACAGAACTCATGGCCTTTGCTTTCAGGCTAGCTCCCGGAGGAAGAAAAGCAAAGTCAAACTTAGCATGTCCAATTTTCCTTCCTTATGTTACCAATCAAGTACATTTTCTCACCTCCTGTAGTGGAATGACTAAAGAGTGGACAGTGGTCAGGAGGGTGCCTAGCAAAGTCCCTCCTATTGGAAATCAAGAATGGGCAAAACACATTTTCTGATGGGGATCCAATTGAATATTACTTATTGGTACCTAGTGCATATTAAACTAAGATTATAGTTTGAATTCAAGTTCACTAAATGCCATTAGCCATCATGTAGAGCCATATTTCAATGATCTAAATCCCAAGATCTTTCCTGCTTGATGAAGGAGTGATGCTTTTCTAATGAACTGTACTCATTAAGGGATATATTAAGAGATACAATTCCATCCAATCAATATAAAAGATTTGTGGCCTAAACTAAAAAAACATACCATTTGGTATTTTTACTGTTATTTATGTTAAACCATCTAGTTGTTATAAATTAGAAAAAATATTTTTAGACTGCTTAAATAATTTCAACCAGTAACTCTTTATAGCAACTTTACAAGTAAATCTAGAGAATCTATTTAAGCTAAAACAACAACAACAAATCAATAATACCACATTTTGTCAAATCCTTCTTATGATAAGCTCTAAAACTTCATTATATTACTAGAAGTCAAATATGTAATCTGTTATTTTTAAATATTAGGTTGTTTTTCTTTAGGTGGAACTTTAAATTATAATATTTCTTGTGAATTGATCCATATGATATAATCGAAAGGCACATAAACTTGGTTAATTTTGCATTATTCGTCCTACAAAAGCAGGTTTACTTAAGTTTTGTGGAGAATCCAGAAAATAATGCCATACCTATAGCGTCCATGTCAAGTTTATAAACTAAAGAATTTCACAATTTCAAATAATTTTTTCCACACTCTTTGCCAGGAAAACTAAGCATGTCTGAATGAAATCAGATCCCACAGGGCCTAAAGGCCATTGAAAGGTCACCAGGAGAACTCTGTCAGACAGAGACCACCTCCTCGATTGTGCTCCACCTGGGAACTCACCGTGGGTCTCTGCAGGCCAGCAAACAGCAGCAGGAGAGGAAGCCGTGCTCGGAGGAGCCAAATTCCTGTCGCAGGAGATGCAGTTATGGGGAGTAAAATCCTCTTGCATCTGTTGGTCAAGGGGCAGCATTTGTTTGAGTTAAATGTACTTCTATCTTGTAGCTTCATACTGAAATGAGTTCTCCCAATTTTTCCTTTGGGCTTTTCTTTTTTTCCTTTGAGCTTTTCTATGCGAGTCTCAGCAAGAACCTTCCTTGCTAATGTCTATGTCAGGACTTCTGTTGACCACCACCAACTAGCAGTTTTTCCGAGGGAAGAGATCAACTCCAACTTCTCGTTGCAAAACTGAAATAATCTGACTCGCGCACTCGCGCACTAAATACGGAGTTCTAAAGTATTTGGCAGTTTCCAATGGGGGGGCGGGGGGAGAGAAAAACCACATAACAACAACACAAAACCCAACCCTTATCTAATCTGTATGCAGAGGAATTCAAAAGGCATGTTGAAGGGAAGGCTCTGCAGCTCAACCTCAACTTGCTCGGGGAGGCATGAGAAGGCACACACTGTACAGTGTTTGGGGCCAAGTGTTAAGGATCCTGAGCCGCAGGCTTTCACCGGGAGTGACATGATTGGCTCCTGCAAGTGGTTGGGAGGATGCCACCTCAAGATGGGCCTATGTCCACCCATCTGGTGCTGCTGATAGGCCCTGGCCAGAGGGGGCTGTCAAAAAGCAGCAAGCCTTTTAGGGTTACTGTGCCAAAGAGGGCTGTCTTTGCTATTTTTCCACGGCACCTTTGAAACTTTCCAAATCAGAAATTATACCTGTTGGGGTCATAGGTCTTCCTATCAGGGAAGGCATCAGATTCTCCATCCATACCACTTCAATCTGTAGTGAATCCTAATGATTGTTAGAAGACAGGCTCTGAAGAGCTGACACCAATCAAAAGCAGGCTTCAGAGCTATGTTAACCCAGCATTGGTGTCCCACACTTCCCTTTCTGGTCTGAACATCCTTCCTCTATTCCCAATCTTTGTTTTTCCGCGCAAATCTTTTCCATTCACACTTCCTGATTCATTATTTTACTGCAAAGGGAAACTGAATCCTATTCTTTGAAATTCTAGTATTTTGTAAAGCACTTTTAATTTATTGGTTGATTTTAAAGAGAGAGGGAGAGAAAGAGAGAAAAAAAAAAACCACATCAATTTGTTGTTCCACTTATTTATGCATTCCTGGGTTGATTCTTGTATATGCCCTGACCAGGATTAAACCTGCAACCTTGTCATGTTGAGACATGCTAACCAACTGAATTACCCTGGCAGGGTTACCCTAAAATATTTTTTAATCTAAATGTTTTGATGATCAAAGTAGTTCTGCCTCATTACAAAAGTTCAGGCTATCTAGAAAACAGAATTAATCATAACCCATAACTTGTAGAAAGGTATTTAGATTTGGCTTTGGGCATGCATATGCATGCATATGCACGCACACACACACACACACACACACACACACACACATTCTATGACTGATATAATATAGTTTGCAATTTTGCATACTGTTTTCCCCTTAATATTTTAATGTAAGCATGTTCCTATATAATTTAATGCTTATTGAAAATCTAATTTTTAAAAAATATATTTTATTGATTTTGTACAGAGAGGAATTGAGAGGGACAGAGAGTTAGAAACATCAATGAGAGAGAAACACCAACCAGTTGCCTCTTGCACACCCCCCACTGGGGATGTGCCCGCAACCAAGGTACATGCCCTTGACCAGAATCGAACCCGGGACCTTTCAGTCCGCAGGCCGACACTCTATCCACTGAGCCAAACCGGTCCCAGCTGAAAATCTAATTTTTATGGTTGCACAATATTCCACCATAAGTGCAATAGAATATACAATAGAATATGGGTTGGTTCCATGGATGATGCTGTTTCAGAAGCAGATTGATTAGTGAATAGAACACAGACTCTTGAGAAATATCTCAGTTCAATTACTGGCTCTATTACTCCCTAATATTTGACCATGGGCAAGGCCCTTAACCTCTCCGTTCCTCAGGTTCCTCATATGCTAAGTGGAGATAATAATACTACCTACCTCATTGAATGCTTTGATGTATTTATAACTCTTAAAACAGCAACTTCTCAATAAATACAAACAATTATTATTATTATTATTATTTTAAAATCAAAGTTCATTTCAACGTAGTACTATGATAAGTAATGATTTGCGAACATGTTTTGGACACAAATCTTTGTGTGCTTCTTGCAATTTTAAGACACTTTCTAGAGATGGATCACTGACCTATATTTTGGACTTAATGGAAAACACAAGAGTGTATGAAATATACCTTTAAGGCTAAAAATTCTTAACATTTCTCCTTATCAGTTGTTACTTTGAGATACTGAGGTATGAAAAGAATTAGAATTCGAGTAGAAAAACTTGGATTATGGGCCTACTTCTATAGTTTGCTGGCTGAGTTAAGTTAAAAAAATCAGTAATCTGTGCTGAGCCTCAGTTTACTCAACTTTATAGAGTTGTTAAAAGTAAAAAATAATTACCTATTACTAAGAGTTTATTTGTGCTTCATGAATGTTTACTGTGTTATCTCAGCCCACAGGCACTGAAAAGGAAATGTTTTAGCTTTCACTTCATGGGTGCATTTGTACAGGCCCTGCGAGATTAAAGAACTTGTCAGTGATAACGGGCCCTTTCCTCTCACCCCTTGAGCCCACTGTCTTCAGAAACACTAAAGAATTTAAAGTGTCATTTTATTATTGTCTATAAAGATTTTGTTTCCTAATGTGGCTGCCATTTCCAGGATGAAAACACTAGGGGGCAGCAGGAAACTTTGTGATCTTTATATACAAGGAGAGAAAGGAAGAAAGGGAAAGGGGCTGGGGGTGGGGGCATAGAAAGAAGAGGCAGAGAGAGGGATGGAGGAGAGAGAGAGAACACCAACAATAAACTGGGGTAAGAAAAAGCCACAGACCTAGTGTGTGAGTGTGCATACATTTTTAAATTAAAAGAGAAAAGTTTTTGGACAATGTTTAGAACAATTAAAAAGCCATCTTTTGTCTTGAGGACTATTTTATTAAAGTTCTCATGAGATCATTTAATATTAGCTTGGGGGTTTATTATTTTGTTGGTTATACCAAATTCTTCAAAATATAATCTATGTATGCTGTCTTGATGGGTAAGAGGGACAGACTGTGTTGACATTTTGCCTCTATGACTCCTAGCTTTTGTGAATTTGAACAAATCATATTAGTTCTCCATCTCATTTTCCTTGTATATAAAAGTGAGGATATTAACACCAATATTGCAGGGCTGTGTTGACAAAGAAATTGAAATACTCTATAAAGTATCTATAGATCCCTGAATTACAATGTCTCAGAAGCAGATTGATTAGTGAATAGAATGTGGGCTCTTGAGAAAGACACCTTGGTCTACCTTCTAGTTTTCTTTTTTCTTAAAACATAACTTTATTGTTGAAAATATTAGAGGTGCCTCCCCTTTTCCCCATTGAACTCCTCCACCCCACCCCCCACTCACAGGCCTTCACTACACTACTGTCTGTGTCCATGGGTTATGTATCTATGCATATAAATTCTTTGGTTAATCTCTTCCTCCCCTTTCTCCCCATTTCCTCCGAGATTCATCAGTCTGTTCCCTGCTTTTATGACTCTGAAGCTACTTTGTTCATCAGCTTATTTTGTCATTAGATACCACATATAAGTGAGATCATGTCATACTTGTCTTTCTATGACTGGCTTATTTCACTTAGCATAATACTCTTCAGGTCCATCCATGCTGTCTTAAGGGTAATGTTAGGGTCGCTGAAGGAGGAACCCATGAGGCCAAAAGGGGTGAAACATGAATTTATTAGGCCTACCTGGTGATCAGGGCCGATCAGGGCCTTCTAGCTGCCAGCTGGGCCCTTCCTTTGCTCCACACCCCACCTGGTGGTCAGTGCACGTCATAGTGAGCAATCAAACTCCTGGTTTCCAGGTCAAACTCCTGCAGGGACACTTTGCATATTATATATATATATATATATATATATATATATATATATATATATATATAGCTTATGAAATTGATGTAAGACAGATTAACTTTTTATTAGGATAATATTTTAAACTTACAAAAACATTACAAATTTGGTACAAGGAACTTCACATAGCACTATCCACATTCATTGATTGCTTACTAGTATATTTTCCCCACACTCTTTTTTTCTAAGCCACTTGACAATAAGTTGCAGACACCAAACCCCTTGATAAAAAATAAACGGAGGCATTTTAAGAGTTTATTTGAACAAAAAGCAATTCAAATTGGGCAGTGAATTGATATTCATCAAAATTCATGCAGTGATAATGAAGAAACAACAATATGATTGCTTTGTGGTAGCCTTGAATAACTGATATGATTGCTTCATGGTATTAAGAAGTCTCCAAAACATGTTCCAATATACTTATTGCAAAAAATCTGCATGTAAGTGGACCCATGCAGTTCAAATTTGTATTGTTCAAGGGTCAATTATATTTGATGAACTGTAGATTAAACATTTGCTTTATTAAAAAAAAAAAAAGGTTAGCCTGGCTGGCATAGCTGAACAGTTGAGCATCAAACCTATGAACCAAGACATTGAATTTTGATTCCTGGTCAGGGCATATACTTTGATTGCAGGCTTGATCTCCAGTGGGGGGCATGCAGAAGGCAACCAATCAATGATTCTCTCTCATAATTGATATTTCTCTCTCTCTTTCTCCCTCTCTGAAATAAATTTAAAAAAATATTTTAAAAAAGCCTAGTTGGTTGATTGTGATTGGTTGGCCTTAGGTTTTGATTTCTTAAGGCCTTTACAGGCTTACATTTGGTTTTCTTTTATAGGCTAATAGGCAGTAGAATCATTTCAGCCCAATGGCCTCCCATTTAATTAATTTAACACTGGTAGAGTGGAAATTTTTCTTCTTCTCTTTTTAGGTGTTTTAGCTGGCTTAATAATGAAATTGATGTAAGACAGATTAACAGAAGAAACCAAATTTTGTATATACAGGAGCTCCATAAAAATGTGAAGCCCAAAGGCAGTTAGGCAATTGAGGCTTATATACCATCCTGAACTAAGGAATGGGATAGAGGTCTGGGATTTAAAGGGGGAGAAC